TTGCCTGCTGCCATCCAGCTGCTTTCATGGGACTTGCTCGCGAGGGGGGTGGCTGCTTGACTGCAGAGTCTGTGGGCCCACATCTGTCTGGATGCATGCTCGCTTACCGGACTGATTCCTCCCAAGTTGTGCTAAGGGGTGACCCTAAGAGGGCGAGAGAAGGCGGAACAGCAGTCACAGTGAGTCACCTCGAGTCTCCTTGAGGTCCCTGGGCCAGGCAGCCTTCTGGACTAACCCTGGGGCAAAGGTTATGGCAGCTCTGTTCTTGCCTTCAGGGGGCTGTCCTGGAGGACTAGACCACAGGCCCCAGCAGTTACGCTTCAGGGACCCCTTCTTTCCCGTCATGCTGCTGAATTTCTGTCTGAAGCTCCAGGCCACTCTTACTCCTCGGGTGGAAGCTGGGAGCCTGGCATTCCTGGGACTCTGTCAGTTAGGATTGAGGAGAATTGTCACACAACAAAAATGTATTGTGCAGAACATTCAAGGGGTGAGTTCAGGAGTCACAAAAGCTCCACTAAGCCATGAAAGGGGCTTCCTGGGCCATCACCCCAACCATGTTCCCTCTCTGCTGGAATCCCTCTGGCTGCTGCGACCTCACAATGATCTCATAAGGAGTCAAACTTGAGAAATGCTCCCAAAGCCAAATCAAAGTGGCAGGGATGCTGTCGTGCAGCACCAGGAAAATGAGGATGCCTGCCCAAGGCAGCAGGGAATATCAATGCAGTCACCCTTCGGCCTCTTTTTCAAATTGATTCGCCCCATTGCAGCCAGCACACAGGATGGCAAACTTCATTCTGCTGTTTCTGTAGGAGGAAAAAAATAAAAGCGGGGTGGGGGTGGGGGATATGATTCTAGCCAGGAAACATCCCTGTGTCTCTGAAGGTTTTTTTCCTGTGTCCCTGAGGTTTGCAGGTGGAAAGTTGTCGGGGGACCTCTCCTGGGCATTGGTCAGGGTTAGGGTTACGCTTGGGGTAGGAGAACGGCCTGTGGCAACGGTGGGGAGTGACTGGGGTACTGGGGCCTGTTGCTCCGTAGCGTCTGGGCCATCTCCGGCTGTCTGCGTCTGCTTTCAGAGGCAAAGCCTATGAGCAGTGGATTAAGAAAAGTTTAAACTGCCTGCCTCTCAAGACTCTCATAATAATCGAGAGCTGAATACAGAGAAGATGTCTGGGGTTGAACCCAGGGCACCGAAGGGTTTTGAATAAGGTGGGGGAGGATGAAAAGAGCCTGAGAGCGATTCACATTCTTAGCTTTCGTAGCATCAGTGAGGTGTCATCCTTGGGGTTTTTTAATGGATGGGTATGCAGGGAAGGGTGGCACTGCATCAGAGCACCTGGGAAAACATGTTTTGGGCTGCTACTGGGCACCAGTGATGAGCCAAATCTGATGTTTGCCAGCCAAACGCAGCTATTTGGTTAGGACACAATTGTCTGCTTTAGTTGGAAGAGTCTGCCCATAATTTTTCCAGTGAAATTGGTGGTTTTGGGGTGGGGGAGTTTAACAGCCCAGTCTAGTCAGGGAAATCAGATATGCCTGTCTTGGATTGCTAGAACCAGGTCTGGCCCTGCGCATTTACACTCTGCTGACTTCAGCTGCTGCTTCCAAACGGTTTGGGAAGCGCCCTGCACGAGGGAAGGGCCTGTTGGGCTTTCTCGGGGTGTCGCGCTGTGACTCAGGGAATAAATATGATAACTTTCCTGTCAGATATTGGTGGAGATGACTCAGTGCCTGGAGGAGGGCTGAGGTTAGACCAGCAGCAAGACATAGCCAGATTTACAGGGAGCAGAAAAAGCCTCAGTGGGTCACATGGGAGAGGGGAATTTTCGCCTGACTCTTCCGCCCCCACCCCCTTTTAACACTGCATTATTTGCTGGGCTACAGAGTTTATTTATCCCAAACCGCAGCATCTGTGGTTTCTCTTGTAAAACTGCACTGATGACTATGCACACTCATATCATATATCATTTAGAGAAAGGAAAAGTCTTTGGGTGTAGTGCAAGAATGCAGTGTTTAATGCTTGCATTAGAAATGAAAAGTATTTCTTCACTTTTAAGCATGGAGTACATGATCATTTGTTTTGAGTGGCCCAAATAGCAGCAAATATTAGCCATGGCGATTTGTAGAAGTCCCTGCAATTCCCCACAGAACCTGACAAGCTTCACTTTGTCCACTGTTAGTCCTCCTTAGAGCAGGGCAAGGGGAGAGGGACTCGTACAGATCACCCCAATCCGGGGGGAAGAGGCCCGCCTCACCCACAAGGCCTCTGCTCCTTTTTTTCTGCCTAGGGACCCCTCCAAATCAACCCAACTGTGCTTCAAAGATAGCCCTGCGAATGCTGCGGTTATGATACATGGTGACCACCTGGATCCCAGGCACGTGCCCTCTTTTCTTTATTTGTTTCTGTTCCACTCCCCGTGCAGTCAGATAACATGCAGGACTAGAAACGCCAAGGACCGCCTGGAAGAAGAGGGAACAACATGCACAGGTTGGTTTTGAGCAAGGAGGGTGATGGCAGCAGAGAAAGCGTTAAGCCCTGAGCGCAGCCCTTTTTGCTGAGGAAAAAAACCCTGATCCAACTGGGTAAATGTCCAGGGGAGAGTCTGGCAGCTGGTCCACGTTTGCCTGCTGCTCTGGGCTTTGCCACCTTCTCCCTGCTGTGTCTGTTGCTCCAGGTTTGCTTCAGATCCTCTGCTCGGGACGCCTGGGCTCGCCCCGTGTGGAGTAACCGGTGGAGGGGGGTCACTTCCAGCTCACACCTCAGTTGCAGTCTGGTCCAACCTCAGAGGAGGAACTGCATTCAGATGGCAACGGCAAGACTGGCAATCCACCCGGATCTCATTTGGACAGAGGCAAAACAAGTGCATCTTCCCCAGCTGAAGCAGAGTACCAAACCTCTTGTCTGCAGTCCAGCAGATTGTCGATAGAAACATATGCACTCCTAACCATGTGCTCTAATCGGGGGACTGAAAGCAAATCCTCTAGATCATTTAGAGGGTGGATAGCCTACAGCAGTCTGCCCCAAACTGGCGCCCCTGAGAATTCTGGGAGGGGTGGTTGCAACCCATCAGACCATCCGCTGGGGGTCCTGCTGGCCTAATGTTAGAATCCACATACCTTTTCCCCATGTTCCTTGCATTGCCTTTTAAGAAAACGTTTCTACCTTTCCAGACTGCCCCCCTCCCCTGCAGTTCACCTTCCCTACGTTTGCCAAATAGAGATTACCAAGGG